GTAGCCTACAATTTCAAAGTCTCTCACTTAGTTCCCTTTTTTTGCCATAAAGGTACACATTCAACTCTTCTTGGAGGTCCCTGCTCTGTATTTCCTCTGCAGGAAAGACTAGTTCCCCACCCCCACCCCCCCTCTCACTCCATTCTCACAAACATCAGTTGATCTGGAGCACTTTCCCCACGCGTGGTTAATCAGCCTTGCATATGAAAGACGATGCCAAATGCCCCAAACTATAGCTGCATCCACAATCCAAAAACATATCCTAATTCAGCAGCAAAACTAGGCATAGACTCTAGTTCTTTGGTGTCATGATTTCTTGCAGTTTTTTTTTTTTTCCATTCATTACATAGACACTACATGAAATCGAAATGTTTGTTGGACCAAGTCACTACATCTCTTGAGTACTTTGGTGTTCTACTATACAGAAACAAGAAACCATGCACACAAATTTAATCTGTTGTACCTGAAATGACGATTGGACAGGTACCTATCATGTACTTAGCGAAATGTACAAAAAAATTTCATTCTATGTTCAGAACTGTACTAGTAAACTTGGGCAGCTTTCGGGTACATTACCTGCAAAATCCTAGACAAGATATATATCCTTTTGTTGATATAAAGATGATAAAATAATTGATAAAAATATAGAAGACAAGCAGAATCTCCTAGTTATATTCTATATTATGAAGAAAATTGGATGATGTAGACAAATCTATGAAGTAATGAATTATTACCTATTGCCAATGATATCTATGAAGACGTTTAGTTCCACCCATAAAACATCCTAGAATTTGCATAGCTATAAACTCACAATCAAGAATTTTGAAAGAATCATCTGGCAAGCAAATGGAAACAATGGCCTTTCCTTTCAAAACAACTTTGGAGTTTGAGTGTGTTCCAGAAAGCCAGTAAATACTTTCATTTTAAAAGTATTTGAAAAATAAGAGGGATCATCTCGGTAGCTTAGAAGCCAGTTGACCTAATGCTGACTTGGCAAAATCAAAGCGTAATCTATTTGGGTTACACTCAGCTAAGAAAGGAAACATAATAGCATTTGATTTAATTGAATGAAAAAGATCTCATTAAAAGAATTACGTGTTCTTTTGTGGCAATGTAAGTTTGGTACTTCAAGATGGTCCAGGACTAACATAGCAAGACTTGCATCTAAGTACAACACAGCCTGGTCCTTTTGTAAAGGAAAAGAAAGGCAATAGCTAAGTGCTACAGGAGGGAGCCAAGACTTACTGGGAGACACCTACACCAGCTCAATTAAATTCAGTTGTTTGGAAAGATGAATACATCAGCTCGATCACGGGCATGTAACTCATTAGAAAAGATTTTTGATAGCAGAAGACTTTAATGTACTGAAGAAAGGCGTAATAAGACCTTATGAGAAGGAAAAGAAAATAAAAAAAGAAGAGAATGGCAGTTTCAATGGCAGTGAAAACCAGCAAAATAAGCGACATGGTTGATCAACCGTAGGGCTTTAAATTGTGCAAGTTTAAAATCTTTCTTGAAGATTTAACTGAATTATAGACCAGCAATGCTATCATTAGTCATGGCTGAGATTCCATTACCATGTTGTGGGTGACTTTTCTAAATGATTTCCAGCCTACATGATGTTTCCTTTTAAAGCAATGAGAATTTGCAAAATCCAGCTAAGAAGTGACAACCGATTCAGGAAAGGACAAGGAGTGCTGCCACATTCCAGCAAAGACTCAAGATGCAAACTAACACAGAACTCCAGAATCAATACCAAGTCTTCTTCGGTATACACATATGGGAACAAATGGATTGGCATTACGAAGAAAATGCGGAGTTAAAGATTTCAGGAAGCTGAAGAGGAAGGACCACAGGATCTTATTGGAGAATATCCTGCAAGTGGAAGTTAAATATTTGAACTGCTGTCAGCTTGAGAATACAAATCTGACAAAGTCACACTCTGAAACTTGAGGCTTCTTCTCCATAGCGGATAACTGTGTATGGATGTTATGCTTTGCATCCTGCATGTAGCTACTATACTGTTTCTGTTACCCTGAGGCACTCTGAATGTCTTAAACAGCCTCAGAAATTCAAAGAGAAAGACCTGATAAAAACTCAACTAGGTGACAATGAGAATGAAGTATTTTTCATTGTTTCTACCCAGATTCCTGTTGCTGGTGTAAACAGAAATAAGAAATTCAACTGATTGGGGGGGAAAAAAAGTCCAGGAATAAAGTGGCACTTCTGAAACTCAATGGGAAAGCACCGTAATAAAAGCCAGTTTCCTCCTGTGTGATAGTAAAAGTTACAGAAACAGCAGCAAACTGCACAAACATAAGCAGTACCTTTGAAATTACCAGTAACAAATGAATTGTACAGCCTTAAATACACAGACATCCCTGTGCTTGGTAATAGATTCCAAGAAGGAAGGATAGAAGACATAAGAAAACAATGCACCAAACAAGGGAAGGTGATCTCAAGCACCTTTAACACAAAACAAACAAAACAACAACAAACCTCACAACACTGCAAGAAATGTTTTACCTTGCAAGACATTCCCCAAGGTATTCAAGCAGTCGGCCAAATATCCTTCCCATTTTCACAATTAATTTCCTTAAAACTAGACGCTGCACCCAAAACAAGCCGATTTCTCAGAGCTCAACACGATGCATACAAGGCATGGCAATGTGAGTGCAAACTGGCAGTTTTATATGTTCGTATTGAACATGGGCGTGTGGAGGAGAGCTACAGGCAGTAATAAACCTATGCATAGTCTGTGCTTCACAAAGCAAATTCCAAGGTGAGCAAACTTGTGAACTGAGTTGTCTGGAAGAAAAAAAAAAAATGTAAGGCGGGAAAATGTGAATGAAAACTATTCTTTAATTAAAATAGGATTGTATGGCCAAAACCATCCCAATTCCGCAAAGCTTTCAGGAAAAGCTTGTTCTGGGTTCAGTGAGAAAGTCTGTGAGCAAGAAAAAACAACTGAAACAAGGGGGAAAAAAAGACAAAAGGCCAAAATACAACACATGGAAAAGGGGAAGGCCAGACACATGAGATAAAACAGATATTATTAGATAGAAAAAAAAAAAACCCTCAAAAACTAGTAAGGAAAAATTTGCGACAAGCAAAACCACCGATAAAAGGAAAGGAATTTTGGAGCTTTCATTTGTTTTTGATGTGTTTTTGTTGGTTTTGGTTATTGTTGTTGTTGTTGTTTTTGTTTTTTTTTCAATAAAAAGCAGACAAATAAATACTGCTAATATCCATGCTAAGTAAAAATGATTAAACTGCTAGAGAATAAAGAAAATCAGTCAGCAAATACTTCTAATCCCATAGTCAGAAACAGAACGTGGCAGGAGTATGAAAATAGCAACTTCTCTTCAGTACCGTAGTATCAAAGCAAGAAATCAGACAACATCTATTGGGGACATATATTTTTAAGTCAGTAAAGAAACAGTCCTAGAAGAGTTGACTAACAAGCTCTCTAGCCCAGCAGTTCCAATTTTAATTAAATGTGGGATATTAGAGAAATACTGTAAGACATTCACAACAGTATTCCCAAAATGCAAATGAAAGGACTCAGCATCAAAATCAGTCTGAGGCAAAATAATGGAAAACCTGTTAAGATGAAGAATGAATGAATGAGTGAAGAATGAATCCTATAACCCAAAGATTTACGAAATACAGGTTTTGTAGAGGGGGGAAAAAAAAAAAAGAAACCCTGGATTCATTCATTGATGACATCATTATACGTTTGGTTTAACAAAGGGGACTGCATAGGTGCAACATACTTAAATTTTCATAAGGCATTGACCTAGCACCATAAGTCAAAAAGATTTACTGTACATAATCACATACTAAGAGGATTAAGAAATGCCTTCTAGCCTGCAAGTCTCAAAAAGAAGCTAATAAAAAGTTGCACTGAATGATGCTTTTCAAGTTAGTGTAGGTCAGATGGATCTGAAAGTTAAAAAGTAACAACTGATACAGTTTGTGGGTGACAAAAACTGGCAAAAGTGGCTTGTGACCTGGACCACTATAAGCCAGGTCAAACAAAATGGACTTTGAGACCATCTCACATTAAACAAGCAGGAAATAAGAACTCTGACTATCTCTATAGAAAGGGGAGAAGATTACCATAGGAAACTGAGATTTCTGATGATTTAGGAATTGCACCAGATAAGCAGCTAACATGAGCTCCTGTATAATGCTGGAGAAAAGAGAAAATGCAATCCTCTGCAGACTTAAGGCAAAGGGAAGGGCAACCTTGTCCATGGCACCGGAGATTGAACACTTAATTCAGAAGTGAATGTTTTTACAGGATTCAGAAAAAATTGATGTGAAAATAAAAGATAAGAATAATTCACAGGCAGGAGGAAATCCTTTATAGTGGAAGACTGAAGGAGTTCCCTCTACTTAGCTTGTAAAAAATAGATTTTGAGAGATGTTAGTGTTTTAAATACCAGGTCAGAGGAGGAAGCTCGAAGGTTCTCTAAATCAGTAGGATGGATCTGAACTGGAAGCCAAAGGCAACCAAATCCAAGAGAAACAAGACTTAGATATTTAGAGAGCAAGAACACAAAGCCCTTGCAGCGGGTTACCAATGGAAGGGATTTGCTATGTCCCTGTGCCTCAAAATCAAGCCAATACATTCTGTGAACATGCACTTAAAATACACCTTAGCTATCGAGGCTCAGTGCAGAACAGCTTGAAATGTCACCTGTAAAATGTAGGAGTCAGGTAGTCTCTTCTAGCCTCATCTGTGAACCTACAAAAAACTTCAGCCACTTGCAGCCAAGCCTGCTGACTAAACACAGAGAAGCAACTCTCTGCCACAGACTACCCAGGTGCAGAGCTCCAACTTTCACTACGCAAACCACAAGGCTGCCTGAAGACAGGGATGCGTTACTCACGGTGCTCGGTGCTTGCAGCAGCAAGATGCTCGTGCTGCAGTCTGGTGCGTGGGGAAGGAACACACGGCACAGGGGCAGGGTGCCTGCAGTAGCACCTCTGAGGAGCCTTTTACACCAGTTTATTTCTACACAAGGTGATTAAAAAAAAAAAAAAAAAGCTCCTTTTGTTTGTTTGTACAGAAATCTGAAACTATAGGCTTTGAGTGGGTATTTTAAAATCCCAACACATGCTTTTTTCCCTTGCCTTTTCATTTGAGTCAGCCTCCATGATCCAAAGAAACTAAGAAGTGATACACAAGACCATAGTCATGTGGACCAAAATAAAATAAAATAAAATAAAAAAATTAAAACAAACAAATAAACAAACCAAAAGGGAAGGAGAAGAGAAGACAAAGAGAGAGGGAAAAACAAACGAAGATTGAAAATAAAAATTTGCCAGGATAATGCGTTTTATAAACACAGAGATAGAAACAGTTACAGCAAGGACAGAGCGGGCCAGGGGTGGGGAATAGATATTTATATATATATATATGTATATATATATAAATTCACGGGGCCTTCAGTTTATTCTTGTTGGCTCCCCGTTCTCTTTAGATTGGTCTCTGTGTGGGGATCTTCATCCCTTTCTCTCCACTGTCCACCTTTTGGGGATTCTCTCCCATGATCAGGGTCCAGAAGAGGCCACCACTGCCATGTGAGTCCAGCCCGTCTTGGCAAGAGGAGCCTGAGAGAGCACTCTGGTGGGAGCTGAGCAGAGAAGCTAGCCTTTCCCTATCACCCGCCGGCTCCTTGAAAGACTGGTCTACTCCTCCTCCTCCTTCCCTTTAGGAAACGGGGCAGGACGGGGGGGGTGTGAGTCAGAACTGCTGTTGTTCCACCTTGCGAGAAAGGGAGTAGAGAGAAGGGCGATGATTATTTTGGCAGTCTCTCACCCTCCCCTCCATTGCTTTTTGGTTTGTTGTTGATGCCTGCAGGCTTTTCTGAGGAGGTGGGGGAAGCAGGAGGGAGAGAAGTACAAGCTGCTAGGACATCATCCACAACGGGCAGGAAGAGCAACGAGCAGGAACCCACATTCCTATGGGGCCTTGGCCATTACGCTGCTCAGATAGCTGGGAGAGGCAGCAGCCAGTTCCAACAGACTCCTCTCTATTGCTCTCCACTAGGGGAGAAGAAAGAGTGCAATACTCCATAGCCCCCAGGCAGTGCAGGCACCTGTCCAGCCCAGAGAACATGCCTCACCTCTCCCCCACACTGGTCTCACTTTCCACTGGGGAGGTTTCTCCCATCCAGTCCTGGGGGCAGAACAATCGACCCCTCCTCCCTTTCACAAGCAGGAGGAACAGGAATGGATATTTCCCTCTTAGACACTCAAGGAAATCCTCAAAAAAAAAAATAAAATAAACCATCCAGTTGTGAACCCTGCCACATTCTTCTGTGGCCCACTGAAAGCATGTCCAAGCCCCTGTACATACTAGGACTCCATTCCATTCACCACGCATGTCTCAACACCTCCCCACCCCTTCATACGCATCCTACAGTGAGAGAAGGCAAAACAGAGGCCTTTCTTTGGGTTTTAAAGGAGGGGCTCTTGCATGAGGAAGTGATCCCAGCACAGGAAAGGAGCTCTTGCACAAGGAAGCATCCTCCTACCAGGCAGGTTGTTGCACAGAAGGAGCACCCCCTTGATAAAGGCTGTTATTCAAGGGGCTGCCATGAACAGGGTTACACGGCCAGAAGAGGCTGTTGCAGGAGGAGAGGCCGGAGACTGTTGCACGAGGAGGGCCACCACACGAGCGGTGCCCCTGGGCGCAGGCTATGCACAAGAGGCTTTCTGCTCCCTGGCTTGAGGTCTCTCTAGGAGCTGGAGAGGTGCTCCACTTGGATGGCGCTGGTGCTGACAGTGAGGCAGATGTCCTTATGATGCTCTGAAGTCTTGTAAGGAGTCAGGTCAAAGGAGCACTGAGGGGGAGGATTGGGTTGGTTAGTGTCTCCAGAAGGGCCCCCTGCTGCCCCACCTCCCTGTGGCTGGAAGTGCTGCTGCTGCTGAGAGGCCTGGGCTTGGGCCTGAACCACCTGCTGCTGTGGATCAGGGATGTTGTGTTTCCGCATGTGCTTCATCAGGTACGTCTCCTGCAATGGGAAGAACGGCATGACAGGTGGGGATGACTCAGAAGGAAAAAAAGGAACAGGGAGGGATACGACAACTCATGGTGCTGCTTCCACAGAACCTACTCTCTGGGGAAGTGTTCCCACTTCTGATAGCTCTCAAGGAGCCAACACTCACCGAGGTGTAGGCCCGGCTGCAGATGGAGCAGGTATAGACCTTGGCATGTTTCACCGTGTGTGTAGCCAGGTGTACCTCCAGCGAGGCAGCATCTGTGTATGCACGGTGGCAGTTGTGGCACTTGAAAGGTTTGTCTTTGTTGTGCTGCCGTCTGTGGGACTGGGGAATGGCAGCAGGGCAGAGGAAAGAGAAAGCAAGTGCAGAGAAAGAGGTGAATGTTAATACTGGAGATTGCTTTACCACTCCCTTCCAACCAGGCTCCAAGTCCCCCAGGACCCAGTATGCTGAGCTAGGTACACCCAGCTCCTAGCACAGAACGTGGTACTTTCCACTCCAGCCCACTGTGTCTTCCCCACAAATTCTTTATCAGCCCTTCTGCACATTTGAAAGCAGTCTCCTAACTCTCCGCAGCATCCATCTTCTCAGTCTCAATGCAATTCTTTCAATCTTTTCCTGCCTTTCTTCACACTGACTCCCCATGTCTATCAACTGTCAAAGCAAGATCTTCCTTCACTGATCGCTGACATTTTACTATTTGGCATTTTTCACTCTTCCCTTCCTCCTCAATACTGCAACAGGACATATTACTTTTGCTTTCCTAAATCTCTAGTCTTACACTAATTCCATTGTAAAACAAACAACAACAAAAATATCAGATAGTGAGATTTTATTCCACTCATAACATTTAGAAAATTTATTGCCCCAGCTATGTTAGAAAACTGCGGAACAGATGGGAAGAATGTTACTAAGGTCTCTCCACATTCTAGTCAAGCTCATAATTTTACAGGATGCAACTGTTTTTGGGACTTATTTGGGTCACTAGTGCCACAAAAGCCATGAATCTTTTCCCTACTCAGCACTTCAATAGTATTTCTGTACTCTTTCACTCTCCTCCCAGCTACCCCAATTTCTCCACCTCCTCCCGCTTGACAGCTGTATTTGCCACCCACACTATTGAGCAGGGCATGCCCAGCCTCTTACCTGCAGGTTGGAAAGCTGCGTGAAAGCCTTTTCACAACCAGGGTGAGCGCATTTGTAGGGTCGGTCCCCAGTGTGGATACTGTCAAGGAGGAAAAGCACAAATGGGAAGCAGTGAATAGACAGGCAAGGCGGACTGCCAGGGCCTGATGCTATGATCAAATCTCACAGCCACTCAGGAGAGCAAGGGTACGGATGATGCTGCCTCCAGCTGCTGTTCTATCTGGACAAAGAGAGCTCTGCCCAGCTCCTGTGTCCAGCTTGAAGTTAGAAAGTACATGCAGACAAGCAATGTTCAGAATGTCACTAGGACTGAGGAGTAAGACTTTATGAATGGGTGGCTGGCTTGGCACGTGGGCCACCTAAAAATGGGTGGTTAGGAGTCTGGGGGCCCAGGCTCCCTACCTCAAGCTCAGGAGAACCAAGAGGAATCCATTCTCCTGCTTCCACAGTATCAAGAAAGTAGCTCTGCTCCTTCTCAGGATACACACTCCAAAAGTTCTCCCCTTATGTTATCAGGGAAATGTGTTCATGCCCCTGTCCCCCTGCAATGCCAGGACAAGCTTCCACACACTCAGTCCAACCCCCGAAGAACCGGGCTGGGATCCCCTATGGCCAATGCCTCTCACTCTATTGCTCTCTCTCTGTACCCCCCGCGGTGCCAGACCAAGGATCCCCAGGGATAGCACATGCCCGCTTCTGCCCTGCCGTGGTCAGCGTCTCCTGCGCAGTCTCCATTCCGTCCACTCTGCTGGGCCACCTCCTCCTGTGTGTGCAGCCGGTCGCGTCCCCCGCCCGCCCCCCGCATGCTTGGCGCGCGTGTGCTCCACAGGTGCATGCCGGCAGCGCGGGGGGGCCAGGGCCAGGCCCCCAGCCTCCTCTGGCCCTTACCGTGTGTGCTGCTGCAGGTGGGAGAGCTGGCGGAAGGCCTTCTGGCAGTAGCGGCAGGTGTAGGGCTTGGCCCCCGAGTGGATGCGGAGGTGCTGGGCCAGGTAGGATGTGTTGGCGAAGCTCTTGGAGCAGTGAGGACACTTGTGCGGCTTGACAATCGCCGTGTGGAGCTTGGAGTGGATCCTGCCGAAGAGGAGGAGGAGCAGCAGCAGTTGGACACGACCGCCATCTGGCTAGTGCTGACGGAATGAGGGCACAAAGGGGGTGGGACAGCACCACTATCTGCTACACAGAGGAACTCCAATATGGCATGAGCTCACTCAGCCTCAAACCGTGCTCCCCTTGGATTCAAGAGCCTGTGGTCTGTCCGCACCGGGGGAGGATCCAGAGAGAGAAACTATAGAGTTTGGACTGAGGGGCATTGGCAGAGCTGTGTGTGGAAAGCCTATGGCTGAAATAACAGGGGGCTGCAAGCGTGGACTGAGTTGTTTGGCAGAACTACGCTGGGGTGACAGGGAACAGATCTTCTATGTGTTCTTTACTCTAGTGCTGGCAAAACCAGCCCTACCTTTTGTCAGATGACGTTGTTCCATTGCAGACACCCCTCAGAGTAAGAAACATTAACCTCTGCGCACACCCAGCCCCTCACAGCAAGCAACAGGTCTCAACGTGTCAGATACCACGACTGCTGGTTGGTTGTGTCTGAGACGTGACCAGCCCACAGAAATCAGCAAGGTCTCCCCGAGTAGTCACCCACGGAGGGTGCCCACTCACAGCATGCTGGGATGACAGCAACATGCAGTGCTGAAGGCCCCCAGCCTCCTCTGGCCCTTACCGTGTGTGCTGCTGCAGGTGGGAGAGCTGGCGGAAGGCCTTCTGGCAGTAGCTGCATGTGTAGGGCTTGGCCCCTGAGTGGATGCGAATGTGCTGGGCCAGGTAGGAGCTGTTGGCGAAGCTCTTGGAGCAGTGAGGACACTTGTGTGGCTTTGTCTCCGTATGGGACTTGGAGTGGATCTGCATCTCCGACTTGGAGTAGAAGGTCAGCGAACACATCCGGCACCTGGGACCGGGGTGAGGGGAAGAGACAGTGTCATATGGGGGCAAGCCCCAATATCTATCAACTCTAACTGGAAGGGCTCATCCACACTGAGTGAATATGGGATATTTTCTTACTATGAGGTTCTGGGGAGGTTTCACCTGGGACATTGTGCTCAGCTGCAAGTGCTCCAGTCCCAGAGGAACAATCTTAAGCTAGGAACTGGCAGAAGAGACCAAACTATACTTAGCAGCCATACAAGTGAAGGTCTTGGGAGAATCAAAGAGATTAATTTATTGCGCTTACAAGGAAGACAGGGCAGCACTTTGGAAATTTTTCTACAGCAATCTGAAGGGGACAGGAACAACAACTCCCAGACAAAAAACATTTTGTTCATCTATTATTTATTTCAGCCAAAAAAGTTGGAAAACCTGAAAATCCCAGGTTAACGTTCATCCTCATTATAAAAGTTAATTCCATGTACTGCAAAGTCTGCAAAAGCAGTTATGACAAAACCATTTAATTCTGCTCCCATTTTTGGAGAAGACATGTTTACGAAGACAATGCTGGAAGTAACAACAGTGCTGCCTTCCTAGTGAGTCTCAAAAGATGTTCTGCATATCAGATCAGATATTTCACTGGTCTAATTGGCTTTCACCGTTTCTATCTCAGTGATGTTTTGAAATGTTTTGTCTGGGAGTTTGAACCCATCTGTTCCCACAATGATCAGAAGCTTGTTTGATAACACAGACTCTTTGAACAGGGAGAAGCAGTGGGCAACTATCTCCAATAGATGCTGATGTTAAAAAACATTCCTCCACCATAATACCAGGTTAAGAGAAGATTGTACTTTTATAAAATTAAAGGTGGTAAAAGAGTTTGTGGTTAATAACGTGACAGAGAGCTAGAGACTACATCCAAGTTACTGAAGGTTATCATCTTCCCACAGAAGTGCACGCCAACAAGTGGCAGACTTAAGGTTTCTCTGAACTAAAAGTTTTTCCACTTGCAGACTTCTCAATTAAACAAGACAAAATGGAACCTGCACTTGGAACTTCCAGGGTCACACCCGAGGGAAAAATTCCACCTACAAGACCTCTGTTCAATCTGTTGTGCTGTGTTAATTATGTTTTGTGCCTGGGAATTTCCTTAAGTTTTACAAGCACTTAAGAAATTGCTCAGTGACAAAAGTCTCTGCAGTTATTACAAACAACAGAGAGCTTATCCTGCTCCTTCCTACATTCAAGTGTTTCTCCTCCTCCTAGGAGAATACTTCATTACATTTACTACAATGGCTATTTATTTTGGAGCCAGAAGCCTTTATGAAGCATGTGGTCTAATTAGCACACGTAATGTAGGCAATATTTATCCAGAACCTACCTTCACTTCCACAGGCCCTTCCAAGCCACAGCTTGATTTTGAGCCATTTAACTGGAAGCCATGCCTCCCCAGCGAGAACTCTACCACACATATGCCATTTTTCTTATATATCACCGTTCCTTTGAATTCCTTATCATCTCTAACAGTTGTTTCCACATTTTCTGCCTTCATCTTTCTCTTACGTCCTTCTAACTGCACAACTGAAAACACCACATAAAAGAATGTGTTTAACCTATAATTCCTCCCTCACATACACACAACCATCCTTTCTAGCATCAACAAATAGAAGCAATCTGTTTATCCCTAGGTCTATTTGAGATGCAAGGAGCAAGAAAGAACATCACCTTTTAGAAAAAGCAGGTTTTGGTTTACAAACCCTCTCTCTCTCTCTAAACACTTGTCCAGTTTGCTCTAGACTTTATGAAAAATTTAAAGCTACACTTGAAGACAGCACAGGCACTCCACAATTTTAGTCATATTTAAAGAATGAGAATTGTATTCCTGAAAGTAGCAATGCTAAAAGGAACTTTAAAGTGAACACTGAACTGAAAAGTATCTCCAAGTCCAGTGCCCTGCTAATGCAAGGAATTAAGCCATAACCCCCATAACAAGAAACAGGATCATTTCAACCATGAGAATAATACATCTTTGGAACAACATTCAGAGGCTGTATTATATTCCCAATCACTTGGCTCCTACAATGACTAGTTTTAGAATTCAGCTACCTGTCCAAGTGTACTACTTTTCTAGACATGTATCTCTAGTGTACATACAGTCCTGGGAACTGTTATCTTCTCTGCTGTATATGACCATTTATTTTAAACATCCCATTCTTTTTTGAAAAAAAAAAAAACTAATGAACTTTACTATGTCTAAGCACTCCCACCCATTAAGTATCTAATGACAATAAAGCCAACTAGTTTATTGTCCAAAACATCTGCGCAGCAATTTCTTTACTTCTTTGCTTTGTCAGGTATCTGCCTTCAGGTCAGAAATTCCCTAGAATAAACTTTGATGCAGAGAAACAATGTTCTTCTCCATTCTGACAAAAATCTCCCTGGAACCTGCATAAGAATGGAAGATAAATCTCAATGCGAGGAAAAACAGCAAAACCAAGAGACCCCACACCCACATACAAAACAAACAAAAAACCCTCCAAACCTCAGAAGATAAACAACAACAACCAACCTCACTTGTCTGCGTTTAGCAGTTGCAGAGGTCTCCAAATTGTTTTTAAAACAATATGAAAATATATTCCATATATATGGACTCATTTTCCAATAATCCAACTAGCATCAGCTGAGAGAGGGCAAGAATGTTATGTAGCATTAACAAATTCATCAGCCTTACGAGTTGAAAAGGCCCTGGAATAGAGCAGACAGCTGCATTTTAGAGTTCTGCATTATGCGGTTGCAGGCATTTTCATGGGAACAAGCGATCTATTTAATTAACAGCTTTGCATTTTGCCTCAGACTACATCTAATATTAAAGGGGAGGATGCAGTCAGTCCTCTGGTGGGGAAATATGGATTCAAAAAAATGTTTAAATCCATACGGCTAATGAGGACATCGCACCTGACAACTGCAGTGTTTCAGTATTCTATTTCATTGAAATTCTCCTTGCTGGGAAGAGGAGAAGTAGGGAGTGCTGTTTGCTAAGCACGGACACGGCGCTACGTGACATAAGTCATCGTTTTTGTTAATATGCATTTTTAACCTTTTCTCCCCGTTGTGCTTCTGAACTACTACTACTTCCACTGTATTCTGAAAGCAAGTAACAGAAATGAATGCAGTATTCCCATTGAGAGTGTAACAAAAAACCCTATGACTGTTTGTCATGGCTCTGCAAATTTAGCCTCGGAGAATAAACTCTTAATAATGCAGAGGTGCATTTCTCCATATAAATAGTTTTATATTCATCAGTATACTAGGGAACAGAAGTAACACCTTACAATGTTTCTGATCTTTTCTTTTTATAGGGAATCTACAGAAATAAAGTGAGATAAAAAGAATACGTGCATGGTAAGACTAACACCCTCAAAAAAAATCATGAAATGCCAGTAAAAGTTGGATACATAATTCTAATTCTGCTCCCATATGAAAGTCATCATGATGAGTCACAAACAAAATTATGCTTATAGGAGCTAGACTACAACTCTGAGGCACACAGTGCCATGTTTTTGCTCCTTCTCATAGAATGTTTTGCCTCATTCATCACATGCTGTTATAAGATAAAATACCATCTGACATATCATCTCATAGTAAAATCTGCCTACCATGAATTAACAGTATTTTTCAATCAAGTGATTAATTAATTGGTATCACAGTTGTGAAAACTGTAAGCTTTTACATGACTTTCAGAATTCAATTTCCTATTGAGATTCATCTTCAAATTTAACTGAGCCCTTGCTCTTTCTGCTAGACTTCAAATACACCATCACAAGTTAAAAATAATAATAACTTAAAAGAACAGATCAGAAAGGTCAGAAGTTAAACTAGTTAAGTTTAGGCTTCCTGAGTCAACAGATATTTAGTAAGGAAAGAAATTTACTGCCTTTGCAATGCAGAGTTAATGAAGTAACTAATGCAATCATTGCATAATAATGGATGCACAGTGCAGAAGAAATGCTGATTTAACCTTCAAATTATCCCATATTTTAAAGCAAATTAAACATTTCCTCACTAATATTTTGTAAGAGGCAAGGGGAAGGAGATAAAATATTTAAGATACAAGGCTAGAAAACTTGTATAAGACCTAAATAAAAGTGTATGAATGCCAAATGCAAGCTTGCAAAATTGTACTCCTGCATCCATTTGCCAATTTACACTATTGACATGCATGCTATCAAGTCTGCTAATTACACAGAGATCTTCATAGACTTATTTCCACAGACCCTCCATTGCTTGGTATCATGGTAAGACTACAGAAAACAAACATGCACCATTGTCCTGGCAAAGCAGTGACTATTTTTAAATGCTCTCATCATATAGCATTTCTCCAGTCCTCAGAGGTGATTCCTGCATTCTGTCAATATTTCCAAATGATCTTAGAAAAAAAAATGCCAGACTCAGAATTTTGTAGCATTTCAGTGTGCTTCACAAATTGCCTGTCTTCCTTTAAATACCTTGTTATTTATTCTTTCAGCAACTGCATTTACCATCTTCTGTCAGAGCCTCACACTGGGAACTCACATGACGTCATTTAATTTCTAGAAGTCTTCTGCACTGCTTTCCAGGACACTGTTTCCCCATTACTTACATAACTTATTCTTTAGATTAAAGATGTTCAACTACAGCCAACAGGACACTTCCTAGAATCACTTAATGTTCCGAGTTGGAATGGACCCACCACAAGGATCTTCGAGTCCAGCTCCTGGCTCCAATTCTATCCAGGCCTACATTATTCTTTTAAATAGTGCTTGAGCATCTAGGTCTCAATCCCTAACTCTGCTAGAGAAGCCAGGCTGTATTAACAAAGAAACTAAGCCTTACATTGGGCTGTACTAAAACCACATTTTGCTTGAGCAGCTCAAGTTTACAAGCCACATAAAACTTAGCCTTTAAAACAACAACAACAACAACAACAAAACCCACAACTATCTACCAGCAATTGCTTCTATCTGTAAATTGTCAAAAGATTTTCTGTTGACCTCTGAAACCACTGAATGACATCAGGCTTAAGACCTCTATCGATTTCTGAAATCGGTAACCATTAGAATAGACAACTAGCAAAGCAATAAAATACAATAAGGTATTTCCTACGAACATGATAATACCCAATGCTAAATTAAAAAAAAAAACAAAAGCCCCATAAGAAACACTAATAAATTTGGAACCAGAAGTAAGGTCATCTGTGTCAACAAAATTTGGCTCTGCAGTGCAGCCACATATTCTGATACAGCTTTATCGACCGCTTCAACAGAACTGCATCCTTATTATGTTGCACAGATAGATACTTAACAAGCAAGTGGTCAGCATTCTTCATAACCACTGTGATGCATACAGCATCAGACTTGTCAAGCGAGTGCAATTCCAATCTCAGAAGGCAAAATCACTCCTCTGTTTGAGCCACACAGAAGTATCAGCGTTCCACACTCATCTGTCCCCACAGCATCCATTTCTTTTTTCCTAACAGTAGGAAGTGACAAAAGACAGGAATGAAAAAAAAACAACTAGTAAGATATACCCACTAACTCTGAGTGGCTAACCCAATATCCGCAAACGTTGATTTTCCTTTAAAGGAACTTGACAGTACATGCATTTAAATCACAGCCCCTGTAAGACTTCTGCACTGTAGCTGTAAGATACTACGCTTCTGCAAAGCTAAAAAGGATGCAACATGTAACAGAGGACTATTCAATGATACTTGGCAAGGGATTATGGTTTTGGGAACACCAGATGTGACCTAACTTGTGTTTGCACAGTGTAGCCTGAACCACGACTTAAGATAACTATTAAAACCGTACCAAACAGCCTACAGGTTCTTCACATTAGCAGTCAATTGCCTTCCCCAAATCATCCTTATCCTTCTCAACTCCACAACCCCATGCCATTTCAATTTTTATACTGGTCCTAAGTAAATTTTCTGGACTCTGACAGGCTATCAAGTACACTATAACTGTAAACACATAAACAAAGATGGTACAAAAGTGCATTGACTCAATGGGGTCAAATTAAGGTGTGACCACGCAGACGGATGTGTGACATAAGAGATTTGATGCTCTCTCTCTCCAGCTGAAACAGTTACTGACTCCCTCATTCCCTTGCACACACTGACAAGCAAGTAAAATGCACTAAAATTAAAACTCGTGACTTCCTGTTCTTTTTACTTTGCACTATGATGAACTACAATGAGAACACACGTGCACATGCAAACACGTAGTTAAAACACCATAATAGAAGGGAGAGAACTTACCATAATCCAGGTTTTCTCCTTATTATATCCCGAGACACATGGTCAGTCTTAACTACCATTTCTAACCTTCTGACACGGTACTCATATACAAAGCAAAGCTTACAAACAGTGTGTATATAAAGAAGTACATGTGCACCTGTCCTCCTTAGAACTTTGAAAGTATAAGCCAATTTTAACCAAATCCGAAAAAGGGGTAAGAATTTTAAAATCACAACAAGTGTCACAAAAATATGCAGCTGGAAAAGATAAGAGACCCTCTTGGAGCCCCCTGCTGAGGGAAAGGCTAGTGAGCTCACCCTTGATTAGACATCAGAGAATCCACACAGGAGAGAGCCGCTGGAAACCAGGCTTCATTAGTTCCGCTGCTCACGGAACTACTTGTTAAAAAAAGCAAACAGAAATTCCAACATGTGGCATCACACTGACACCCACATTGGTCAACAGCAATCTTAAGAACCTCTGCACAGATTCTGCCACCACAGCTAGGACAATAAATGATATTAATAGCAGTTTGTTGTCTTTTTCTAGCGTCGGAGGGGGGTGAGGCTCTTTGCCAGAGGAGGTTATATACTAACTAGTGCTGACAGCAGAAACGTGGCAAAATTTAGGAATGCTGGATTTAATATTTCTAGGCTTTGGAGGGAATGTGGTCAAACTTCCTGCCCCATACTTCAATCTCTATTTCTCCTTTGCCTGTAGCCTTCCACCCTGTTGCAATCCCGTCTCTCCTGTACCAATACCCAGCCCCAGGCTCTTTTCCCATATGCCCCAGCCTCCTCATCCTCAGTTGCCAGTAACTCTCCCCTGTTCGTTAACATTTATCTCCTCTCCCTCACACTTCTACTTGTCTGTCCACATCCCATGCTCTTTTCCCCATCTGTTCTGTTAATCTGAGGTACCTCCTTCATTTTCCAGCTCCTCACAGATCTGCCTCTTTCTTCCTGTTTCAGTCTTGACCCTCCCTAGCTTTTCTATAACCTTGCAAATAGGCTCTCCGTCACATCCTCTACTTTGTGAGGCTCTTTCCTCTCTCCTCCTTCCTTTCAGAGATTCCCATCTCTGCCTTATCAAGGTTCCAGACTTCAATCAGCTCCAAGCCCTAGCCCTATCTCACTCTCGTCTCCACCGCGTTTGAATCACGCACTGCCTTCTTTCACCTTGCCATTGCACCTGCAAGAGGGGAAGGCTCCTGCCAACTCTGAGCACAAAGATTCCCTTCTGAAGCAGAATGAGGGCTGTGACTGAAGGAAAAGCAAGCTTGGCTCTTCAGCACTAATCTAGAAGACGCTTATCACAGTATAGAGAGCACACACATAGTACAGCCTCATATAAACACAGAGAGGTCAGAGCCTATTTAGTTCTTCTGTGGAGACAAACAGTCTGGTCAGGGCCTGGATTCATGCAAACCTCAAATACCAACAAAGATGATACAATAATCTTTGCGTATTTCAACTACTAAAGTATACAGCATCTCAGAGCATGCTTAACCGATAACTTTCAAAATTTACAACTTGACCAAATTTTCAGGCAGACACGGCTTATGAAAGCCATTACCAGCACATTTCAAATCTATTAAAAAACAACAGCAAAATCATCACCACAGGGGAAGGTCAAACAGCAACACTAAATTCAGTGTAGGGCCAAAAAAAAAGGGGCTGAAAAAAAGGACATGCCCACCACCTGTTGTATTCAAGCCACTGGCTCCCCTTACTTCCATCCCTTATTTCCATCATCCAGATTTTTCCCCTTTCAGTTTGTCTCTGCTTCTTGCCAAGACTTCTAAGGCTTCTGCACATTTTTTCTCCCTAGACACACTTCAGAAGCTTATGTCTCTTAGCTGGCTATTGTCTCCCAAGCTAAAACTCCCTCCAGCCCAGAGAAAGTAAGGAAACTTACCAATGAAGGCAGGAAACAGAAAGCTCTATGACTACAGTGTAACAGCAAGGTCCTTCTCATGCCTACAACTTTTCTACACGTACCCTTTGCTCAAAAAGCAGAGTCTACAAAACCATCCCAGACAGAAAACTTAATATATTGTGTCAGTGCTGATAAAGAGGTTCCTTCCTCCAGTAAATGCAAGACCAAACTATTCAGAGAACTGTTTGACAGAGAAAACTGACGATCTGAACCAGAGAGACTGAACCATTTCAACCACCCTATCTACACATCACACCAGAAGCTTTAAGAAGTGAATTTGAACACACACCAAAACAGTACTGAGAATTACCGCTGTCTGCAGAATCTATGCCCTTTCTTCCTCAGTACCTTTTAAAGTTCTGATTAGAAATCATGTGCTTCACACACTGACAGCATCTTAGTAGAAACACTCTTGATGCTGATCTCTTTTTCCACAGGAGAAAAAAGTAAATTCTACCATGATGTCAGGAGACATTAACGAAGAACTGACAATGAATCCAGACAAGTCTGAAATGACATTATTCATGATGGAAAATGCTTCACAGAACTGGTTTAGATGCTTGTCCCCTGCAGGTACAAGCCTCTTCTAATATCACAAAGCAGAACAAGGACTCTTGCCAGACTAATCCTTAGGCTAGATGTGCAAGATCTGCAAGCAACAGCATCATCAGTAAAAGCCTCACGCCTTTTCTTACCGAGAAAAACCTAGTGGTAAAAGATTGTTGCATCAATGCCACAGCAGTCTAACTCACTTCTAGAGACGGCAGCAGAACATCTGCTATTTGCTGGGGCAGGAATCGCTACATTCAATGGGCTGATCTGCAACACTCGTATCATCTTTGTGCCGCAATCCCTTCAAGGCCTGCCTGCAGTACTGCTCATTCAAGGCCTCGATCCTTCTTCACAATATGCCAGGAGTCAAGAATTAGGGAAATTAGCCACCAGCTCAGACACCCATGACAAAAGAGCTCATGAAGATAAAAAAAAAAAACAACAAAAGTAGTCAGACTGATCAATATAGTACAACTCCTTCCAGGCATCTGACTAGACTGTCCTTAGCATATCAGGATGAGTCAATGAAATCACACAAATGCCTGCATGTACACCACAAGCAACTCCTTCAGCCCACAAGGGATCACGTTCAGAAAAACCTCCCATGCAATCCTAACCTAGCTAGGATACGTCTGCGCACTACAGTAACCACTTATTATTCATTATCACCTAGAACAGTGAAGGAACCCACGAGTTCTCAAGTTTTAACCTATGGATGTTATATACAAACATCTTCCCACAGCTACAAGAGCACTCATTGTCCTTTATATTTAACAATTCTTTTTAGTTCCAGACTTGCATGTGGAAAGCATCAGACAAAGAAGAGACCCCTTGGTGGCCTTCAATAAATCTCAATTTGGCTATCTTGCACTTTAATACTGCTCAGAGGAAGTTCGTCTTCGAATGGGAACTGGAAGAAGAGACAGACTAAACGTGAAGACGTGAAATATTCCTGGTTACAAGTTTCCTACATATAAACCTATTTGTGTGGGGTTTTTTTCTGCAAAGTCTTTTTCATGATCAGTTACAGAGACTATGGGCGTTCATAAAGTTTCTGCTGAGTCACTCCACACGGTCATTGGCATTTTTTTTCCAAACTTCCATGTAAACAAGGAGCTATAATTAAAGCTTTGGTTCAGCTTTAATTCTAACGTTCACTGCCAATTGTGTCCCCTGTAAATACATATCTAACAACCTAATTAGCAACCCAGACTGTAAGCAGCTTGAGTAGTGTGGAATTGTGGCTAGGGCCCAAAATAAATGGTGGACTTAAAAATAGCAAGCTACCTAACACTCCCACCCCTCTTCACCATACGCTGATTGTATTTTCAAAGTGGAAAAACTGGGACATTGGGTAAGGGAATAAAAGGACTGTTCCAAGCTCTAGTTTTGCAGCTATTTGACTGTATCGATTTAAAAATGTAAACATTTTAAAAACGCTGTAGTTAAAAATGAAACAAGAGTCTGGGATGGATGCATAGATTCTGTGGAAGTGCCTTCATACTCATGACTTACTTCCAGAAACATAACTAAACTGGTACAAGAAAGAAAAAAAAAAAAAAAAAGAGGTAAAAGGGAAACTGAGAAGGATTCATGGACACATAGTAGGGAAGTGAGATGAGCTACGAATCATATATTTCTGCTTTGACTCACTGACCTTAACCAGCCCTCAGAACCTCAGAAACACACATCACTAAATACCCATACTGGCTCCTGCTTCCCAACCAACACTGACCATCACATCCCCACCCTAGCACTCATCTGCTCTGTCCAGCTGCCACGTTCTCAAAAATGTTGTACTCCTTATTACCCTCTGCTTTAAGTACTTCCTTCTAATTAACCTCTCTCCCTTTCCCAGCACTCACTTGTGCAAGCTCCTTAAGCCACATCCCTCCAAGCTCAGAAACCCAACCTCAAGGCTCAGAACGCTCTCCCCTCCTATCGAGTAACTTTTGGGCTCAGTAACACCCTTACATCTAATTCAGAACAGAACTTTTTTCCTGTTTTGTTGGGAATGCTGAAACAGTAAGACAGCACATGGGGCAATGCACACAGGAACAGATGCTATCACCACAATTCACTTCATCTGTGTTCCTTCACTATGGAGAATTTATACTGGACAGATTGGAGTCCTCATTCAGGGGCATTCAGGTACACTAGGACTCTCAACCACACCAGAAGTGCTCCAGGTGCACCAGACAGTGCTGCACTCTGCAGTATGCCAGCCACAGCACCCAACTGCAGCATCAAGGATATGGCTCAGCCTCTGAAGGAGCTAATATTAACTAACCGAGCAATACTAACATTCATATGTTTAGAAAACTGAGGTTGTTCACTACAAAGAAGATGCTTAGTTTGGGGTGAATCTACCAGCTTGCAAACATTCCAAATTATCAAGAAAACTCAACCCTCTCTGCAGCTAAGAGTTTCTCTATTCAGGGACTCTACAAGGAAGAGGCAAAGATCTCTCCCACCCCCACGTAACCCTCCAAAGAGCTGAATATACCCCCAACCCCATGCAACGTAACAATCATGGTTTAAGCCTGCTCCCCACCTGTATGTCTTGCCATCCTTGTGCTGGTCCTCATCATCCTCGTTTGACAGCACAAAGGGGTCGCTCATCTCTGGCAGCCCCGATTCCTGCAATCGTTTCTTCTTCCGGCCCCGAGGCGGTTTGGGGGCAACTCCCCCACCCCCGCCCCCCCCCCCACCTTCGGAGAGGGTGGTTGTCCCCTTCTTGGTCAGATCAGGCACCACCTGGAGGGCTGCCTGGGAGCCAGGGGGTAGTGCAGAGACGATCATGGGAGCTGAGATGGGGAAGGTTTGTGCAGAGGAGGCTGTAGTCACCAGGGAGCCTGATGGAGAAGTTATCACGAGACCAGGACCTGAAAACAAAGATGCAGGTCAAGTATTACCCTTCTAATGATCTCCTCATCTCACAGAAGTAAGGTTTATACATCTACATTTAAAACAGAAGAGCAGCTTAACATCTCCAAAACATTCTCAGTCTTCACAGCTAGAAGTCAAACATCAGCACAGAGGCTAGACGAATAGACTTCCTAGAGATTCACAGTGAAACTACGCTTAGAGGCAAGGCAGTCTACACCATCAGAAATGCTCGGGATGATCTATAGTCCCAAGAGGATTTTGCAGAATCCTGCACTACACACATCCTGGCATCCTCCTGATGCAGAGTTCCCTACCTGCTGTCATGAGCCCAGCAGACTGCACTGGCACCACGGTGATGTTCTGAGTCACAGGGGCTTGGCTGTGTGGTGTCAGCTGCTCCGGCTTGGTGTCAGAGTCCATTGCAATGCCAGTGGGAAGGGCCACTGAGGTGGGCACTGTCAGCAAGGCAGGGTAGTGGGGGGGAGCAAGGCTGCAGCCCTTCTCTGTGGGCAATAGCTGCTCCTTCATCTTGTTAATAAACATGGTGTTGTCAATCTAAACAGGTGGGAAGAACAGCTTTTAGAATATTGCAGTACAGCCTCTTCCAGCAGTTGGCTGAGCAAGAAAAGCAACAGAAACATGCATCATTCACAAACTTCTAATGTGAAGCAACATCAGCAAAACGGGTTGAAAGACAAAGATCTTACCTGTCCCGAAACCGTGGGCACTGCTGGCCAGAAGTACGGAGAGGAGTTGAAATGAGATTCTTCCATCCTAGCTGGGCACAGGGGGGAACAGGAAGGGGGAAGGGAAGAGGAATGGAGAAAAAGGAAGACAGAGACAGACGCACACACACACAGAAAAGGAATATTAAACCCAAAATGACTCCAACAGGGAACTGCCTCAGTCTAATGCTGTGACAGTTCCTTAATCTCCCCTTTCTCATTTAAGCAGTCACTCCCCACTTTTGAGCTATCTACCCAAATCCTGTTATTTTCAGGGAAAAAGTTATCTGCTATTCCCACAGACTTAGGCCCATACCTCTTGCCTAGTAGTTCTCCATGCAAAATAAAATTAACAATGATTACACCTGACCCAAAACACCTCTAATATTCCCCAACTACCGTCCACCCAAGTACATGGCATAAAAGATCAAGTCTGTGCACGTGCAACCTGGCTGGCAAATACAGCTGAAAGCCATTTTTCACCGTCACAACCATCCTGACCCCAAAAGCAGTGAAAGTTCTGGACCCTGCCTGTCCCTCCACCCCAGTTCACTAAGGATCCAGATGCAGCAAGGGCACATTAGCAGCATGTTGTACAGGAAGAAGGACAGGCAGAGAGAGGGAAACAGACTTGTCCAAGATAACAGACAGCCACAGAAGACCAAGCAGTAAAACTCAAGGCTCCTAACTTCCTGCAGCCCTCTGCTCTGACCACTCCAGCCCCACTCTTATAAGAAAACCAGAAATGTCACTCAATCCTGACAGACAAGATCCACCTCTTTCATCCAGCAAGACAACAGAGCAGGGAAACAACCTGGCTGCCCTGCTCTTGAGGTATCGAGGTATTCCCAAGAGGTACCACATCAAGCTCTCTGTTGCCTGTTGCAGTCCTGTCTCCAGGACAAGAATCAGTAGCATTCTGCCCTCAGTCTAGTGCCCACTGCTCAATCTCAGCTCTCCATGGACAAGTCAGACACCAGAAGATAGTCCTCTGAGGACAGAGGCTTAATCTCTTTAGGATCACCTAGCTGAAAGAATCTATTTTACTGTTCTTTCTATTCTAATCCTGTCATTCCTCTGTGTAATATCATTATCAAGAGCAATTTGCAATGCTCCATAGATGCTATTGAAAAACTAAGAGATTCACAAAACAGTATTTTCTGGAGTAGATGTACCTGTTTCTGAACAAATATGGCAAAATCGGCAGGCAAAATAAATGCAATAAAAGCTGTGCTCAGTGAACATTACATCTGGCACAGCAAGCTGTTTAGATAAAGCAAACACTACAGGTTTGCAGCTATCTGCAAATCGTACCAGTCCTATTTCTGTTATGATGTGGCAGCAGACTAATTAACAAGTAAATATTGTTTCTGAAGGACCTATCTCAGTCATCAGATAAGCTAAGGAACATGCCCCAAGAAGCATGAAACATTTTCCAGAAGTACATTAGGACAGAATAAATACATGTGGAATTACTGTGTATGAGCCAAAACGCAGAGATAATTTTCCTCTATGTAGAGAAGCAGTATTTAAATGAACCAAATTACCTGTTAATTTTGTTTTTATGAATTGCTCACGCAACAGCAAAGCCAAGTATTCCTGCCTCACTCACTCACTCCAAATCAACCAATAAACACACTTAGGAATGATTTATTTACCTTGCATCAGTGGCATGCAGACACACTGCTAGCTGCCTGACTGAATTACTCTGGATTTACATTGCAGCAATTCAATCAGAATCCAATGGGGCACATATCTTTCCTTTGCTTCTTTTACTGAAATTAATTACGTATTCTGTCAACAACAAGGCTCTATGTACATAACACCCAACTACACGACTGTTTGCTTCCACAGAAAGAAAAAATACATGTAGAGGATAAGGCCTCCCTTGGCAACTGAGCGCCACCTGAATCAAGAAGTTTTTTTTTGGCTGGAATGTAAAGGAGCTTCGTTGTTGTTGTTTTAAATCAGTAAGCTCCTATTTGCTCAGCTAAAGAAAAAAAAAAAGCCAACCCTAAGCAAACCTGATTACGTAAAAATGAAGTCTCATACAGTAATCACATACATTTTTTTAAATAAACTTGGTAATTGTCAAGTCTTGAATCCCTCAGACTCAACCTAAACTTCAGCAGTGAAATGCAAGGACATCAATTTCAAGAAAAACCTCACAACAACTTTCTTACTTAAGGAGCATAAAGCATGAAAGGCACCTCCATCTTCAGACTGTAAAATCCAAATGAGCACAGACAGGTGGCACGCAGTGGCCTCCTGTTTCTATCTAGTTCCTGCCAGATCTTCATAAAGCACCCATCTTTTGTTTGCTTATTTACAAAATGTTTCAGTTTAAAACCAAAACAAACAAAAACGCCCACACACCAAGAAAAAAAAAAAAGCAACAAAACAACACAAAAACGAACCAAAGAACCAAAGAAGTTCTCAATGATTCTCAAAAGGTGACTATGCTGTTTTCACTAAACTCTCTAACAATCCTTCTTCCCATCCAGCAGTGTTTATGCTTGAGCAGCTATTGGACTCAAAAGACTTGGCTTGAAAGACTGAGATGTAATGAAGTTACAAGAATGTGAAGAAAAAGGAGAAACAGTGTAAGAGTCAAAGCTGTCATGCAGTCTCACTAGCAAGCCAATCTTCCAAAGAGAGAAAACAAAGATAAGATTCCTCTACCAAACTACCATTCTAATACCCACAGATGTCCCTCCCCTATCCCACTTTTAAGCTAAAGGACATTTTGAAAACATGCACCCCTATTCATAGCCCCCACTTTAACACCACTCACACTTACTTTACCAGAACTCTGCACGCAACCCTTCCAATTGCTCTATAACTATCCCACATGGGCTGGAGCTTCAACCCTGTACCACAGCACGTTCCCACTGCAGTGCCTTCATCATCCCAGCTTCCACAAACAGGCCAGAGATGGGACCTTCTTCCTATTCACCAGTCTAGTATCAGACAGATGTCAATGTACCCTCCTGATATAAACCAAAAACACCTTCTGTGTACAAGCCACAAATGTACATGCACCAAATAAACAACTGAGTGAACCAGAGAACTCACAAGGGACAAGGAAACTGAAGTTTATATCTCAGAGAACTTCACAAAGTCACATACTTAATGGGCTGGGCTTATACTTCTTTGCAGGTCATCACTTTTAATCACAAACACACAGATAAAAAGCACGTGCAAGTAAACGGTGAGGCAGAGGCTGTGTTTCTGGAAGGTATAATCAAGGTTGGATATGCAGATATTTACAGATTGACTTTAATGTAGTTTCCTTTATTCTCCAGATACTCAGCATTTATTTATACGTAGCATAGAGCTTTCATCTGACAAAACAATTATTGAAATTGTCATTCTGTGTCTGCCCAATACCTTTGGCCAGTAAGAGTGAGCATTTGGGCTCAACTACTGCAAAATGCTATAGATGCTGAAGGCCACACAGGATATGGGACCAAATGCCAAAGTGCCTCCCCTAAGCTCCTCAGTACCAACAAGATCAAGCACTGCTATGCACAACAAGCACATGCAGATGTACATCAAGAACACCCCAAAGAACGGGCAAACCCTGAGTCCCAGGCCCCCAGCCCACACACCACAGCTACAGCAACATTGGTGCTGTACCAGACATAGGGGCAGCCACCACCCCGGCCGACCAGACCCGGGCAAAAGCCTCTGCCTGGCGAGGAAGCGCCCGGCACCCCACCGGCCCCATCCCCTCTCCCACCCCTGACCCTGAGGTCCCGTCCCGAGGTCCTCCCTCCTCCCTCCGGCTCTGCGCGCTCTCAAGCCCCGGGCGCTCTGCGGGCGCTGCTTACCCCTCTCACTCTCCCTCCTCTTGCATCGCTCCTCCTTCCAGGGCCGTCTCTGCAAACAAACCGCCAGGGTTACGGGGCTGCTCGGAGGCCCCCATGACGCGGGCCGCCCCTCGCTTGCAGCCCCCCGGGGTCGGGCCATGGGAGGCGCGGGGCTCCCCGCAGGCACCGGCGGGATCGGAGAGGCCCGCACCCACCTCCCCCCGCAGGGCCCCGCCACCGGGACGGACGGGCGAGCGGACAGACAGGCGGCCCGCTACCGTTTCCGCTTCCGGAGCGCCTCGAAGCCGGAAGTGCCGCTTCCCCGGGTCCCCCCGGCCCCGCACCCGCCGCATTACCGAGCACCACCCCCCAGCGGCGACCCCAACCCCGACTCCGGCGGCGGCCTCCTCACCGGAAAGAGGAGCGGCGAGGCGCTTCCGGATCAAGAGGAGGAGCGCGACTCAGCTCTTCCGGGGCGCCGAGCGGAGCGGAACGGCGTCATCGACGGCTTCTCTTGAAAAAGAGGAGGAGCGGCGGCAGCCGCCGGCCTGGGTCAGCTTCCCGGCGGCGGGAGCGTGGTGGGCGGGCGCCTGGGCCGGAAGCGGGGGGCAGAGGTGGGCGCGCGCCTACCGGAAGCGCGGGTGCTGGCGAGCGGAGAGCCCGGGTTGCGGGGAGGGCGGAAGTAGCTGTGGCGGCGCGCGGCGCTCCCCAGCCCGGCGTTGAGACGGCTTCCGGCCCAGGAGGCCTCCCCGACGTGACGTGCGCCGTGCGGGTGCGCGGCCCTCGTGAATATTCATAAGAAATATGAATATTCATGAACGGTCCCGCCCCTCCGCCGGGCTCCCGTCCACGCGCCCTCACCTACCTTCGTCCTGGCCAGCCGTCGGAGGCCGGCGCCGGGCGTCTCTTCTGCGCGGCTCGGGGCAACCCACGGCCTCCTGCCCTGCCCCGCGCCGTGTCGGCCGACCTGTCGCCCTGGGCCGGACGCCAGAGCCCTGCGCTTCGCCGGTGGCCGGGTCAGATGGCCTCCTGTCGCCGTGTGGGCCGTGCCCCGCAGTTGCGCCGGCTCTGGCACGGCCCCGAGCTCGTGGCGCTGACACGCTGGCACGCAGCCCGCCTTGCAGCAAGGCTGTTTTCTGCCAGCTTTGCGAGTCGGAGCGCCTCAGCCACATCAGTGCTGTAGCAGACATAAGGGAGAGGCCAGGCTTAAAGGAGGCAGGGTAACCCCCTTTCTGCAGTCGCACACAGCATAAGCGCACCTATACGCTTTTTTTTTTCATTATTATTCACAACTTGACGCCGATGGGGACGGCAGCTCACAGTTTGACAATGTGGTTTTCAGATTAGGCCCAGCTAGACTGCTCGTGTTGCTGTGCAGCGTGCTTGGCTGCACATAACGCAGTAGCGCATCCTTCAAGCCTTGGTGATGGCACAGGATGAGGCATGAGGCTGTTCCTGGGCAATGCAGTGCACCTTGAATTGGAGAAGTCCCACGCAATCATGAAACCAAGCTGGCTATTGCAGCCCTACCCTGCCCTAAACTTTTGTAATTCAGGTGCTGAGAGACTTTTGGATATAATCTACTTCATTCCACCATGTGCAGCAGGACTAACTTTGGCACTGGAGCCACCTTCCGGGTTAAATTAGGTTCCCTTCTCATTTATGTTATTACTCGCCAAGCATTTGGCTGAGCTGTTTCAGTACTCTGACTTAACAAAAAACTTTTCTTTTTTTTTTTTTTTTTTAATTGTTATATGAGATTTGTGCCAGCTTGGCCTGCTGAAACAGCTCTTCAGGGCCAGCATGAGTAAGAGGGTGGGACCAGGGAGCACACAGCTGTAGCAGCCCGCATTTGGGTTGGCTGGGGTGATCATGAAACCACAATATCCGGAGTGCTGTCCAAAAGGAAATCTGGTGGCCAAGAGGTAGTGCCTGCCTCACCCAAAAAGGTGCTGGGACAATGGTCATCCCAGGCAATGCAAAATTTCTTCCTGTGAGGAGCCAGGATTAGCTCTGTTCTTAGCAGCAGTCACATGAAGGCAATTGTTGATTTATTTAAATAAAAGGAGTTGGCAGACTAATCAGTTTGGAAATTAATTTCCTTGTTAATTTGGGGGTTTTGACTTGCTCATGAATATTCACAGACTCTCATCTCTTTTATTTTTTTTCCTCTATGTAATTTACTTTTGTGATTGTCAGATCACCTCTGAAGGTGACATTTATCATTCTGCAACACAGCAAATTAATACTATCTTATGTCTCAGAAGAAGAACTTTGGCCTGACACTGGTGTCTCTTATGTCTCTCCTTTGCCCCAAAGCCCCTTGTAGCCTCTCTGCACTTCTCCTTCCCTTCTCCTGCTGCCTAAAAAGAAATTAACCTGAGGGTCTCAGAGAAAAGGCTGGCCTTGCCTGGGTAGCTGGGAGAGCTAGTCAAGATGTCCTGCACAAGGTAAAACCACAGTTGCCATGAGGAGTGGGACAGGTGGTTAATTTTCCCTTACTATGCATGGAGTTTCTGGCTTCCCACCCCAAGCACTGCTAAGCAACTTTCAGAAGCACGTGAAGCAGTGTGACTAACATCTGTCACAGGCATTTGATTTCTTTATCTCCTTAGCAGATAAAGTAAAAGAAACAGAGGTGTGTTTCTCTGGAAAGCACACCTAACCTCTTCACCTTCCTTCCCAACTATTGGGTGCCCCCCTGTACTTATCCTGCCTGTCCTTGTTCCTTCTGTGTGCCACAAAAAAGTATCCTGGCCTCTGTCTCATGCTACTCCTTGATGAAGCGTGCTCATGTCCCACGTGCTTGTCCTTAGAGCTGCTGGTGGTTAGCAACACCTACCAGGTGAGCTAGCCTGAGGATGGTGCTGGTTGAAAACCCAGATGGAACTGGTGCAAGCAGCTCTGAAAGTGCGGTGGAGTTCCCAAGAGACTGCATTGAGACAGATTTGATGCAGCCTTCACATATGTAATGTCCTTTCCTTTGGAGGGCCAAGTGCTATGCAAGGGGAGATGGCAGTACCACACCAGCTGCAGGTTCACCTGGCACAAAGCTAGGCTGGTGAGTGGGAGCAGGGCAACTAAGAGGAGCTGGCAGTTATGGGGCAGGACAGCAAACAAGCAGAGATGAACAAGAAACTGGGGGAGGCAGGCAAGACCCAGAAGGGGGTAGCAGGTGTAGGCTAGCAGGCCTCAGTCCTGGGAGAGGGCACACAGCAGAGCTGAGCACCTCCTTCCTGTGAGGGACCAGCTCATAGAATCATAAAATGGCTTGGGTTGGAAAGGACCCCAAGGATCATCAAGTTCCAATACCCCCTGCCACAGGCAGGACCACTAACCTCCGGATCTGGTACTAGACCAGTCTGCCCAGGGCCCCATCCAACCTGGTCTTGAACCCTACCAGGGACAGCAAATCCACAGCCTTTCTGGGCAGCCTGTTCCAGCAGCTCACCGCTCTCTCCATGAAGAACTTCCCCCTGACATCCAATCTAAACCTTCCCTCTGTGAGCTCATGACAAACTCAGAAAAGAAACTATGTGGAGAAAGGTACCTGAGACAAAAGCTGCCACAGCAGCTGCTCTCTCACAACCTTTCTAACAAGCTTTTCAACTCAGCTTTGACCCAGGAGAGAGGCAAACACAACTCTACACTGCTTGCCTGCTCCATTTCCCATTACCCCATCCTGTCACATCTATTTGTTACATTCCTGTCTCAGCTCTTTCTGCTTCTCTGATGCCTTCATCCCCCTCCTTTCTCACCACTCTAACACAGGAAACACCTACCTCTGGACCTTCAATAGTCACTGGAGACCACTTGTGGCACCACTGTATGCTCTGTGTTTGTCTTCTGCCTGCATATTAACTGCTGGTCATGGTGGCCACTCCATCAGTATAAGTGTTAGGCTGCACAATGGGGTCCTAGTGGGCTGGCAGACCTGGTGCATTCTATAATTAACCTCTCTTGCTACTTGAATTCACTGATGGACAAACGGGATTGGAAAGAATCATGATGTGGTGACATCCATTTTAAGGATGGAGGCTGCTCATTCTTGCTCAAATTTTCATCTGCTTGTGGGACAACATTAAGTTTATCCCAAAGCCACTGTTTTGTACTCATAAGCCAGTGAGTACATTTCTCAGCAAGGCATGTTATCCTCACTCTTTCAGAGAGCTGACATATCTTTGGCAATCGGCTGATTAATTCCCCTGGCAGCGCACACTAGAGAGCATTTCAGCACGTCATTTCTGGCTTTCTTTCCACTGCGTGGAAATAGATTGCATCTTTCCCTGCTTGGTAGCTTCTCTAGTTAGTGTTGTAAGATTTGAGGAACTGAGTTGTAGCATTATCCTGCACATGCTTGCCCTGAATCATGGCATTGCAGCCGCATCTACTCTTTCAGGGGCAAGAAAACACACATCTGGGATTTACTTTGGAACCTAAAGCACACACAATAGCAATGTGCTGCATTTTTCATCGAAGGAAGCAGTTGCTCTGGAGCTGGGGACACCAGGGTCCCTTGAGCAGGAACATGGTAACTCAGGGCTCCTGGGATTCATCAACCTTAGCCACAGACCACTGTGTTTTGTTTGGCCACTGTGATAAAGGCAATTATTTACCAAATTTCCTGGCCAGTGTGTCATGAATACAAGTCCCATCATTGGGAAGGAGAAAAAGGAATCACTGGACATGTGAAGAAAGGCATAAAGGCTGTGCCTGAGTACCTTCAGCACAAGAGAAAAAACACTGTCACATTAGCAGTGCCTGAGGGGGATCTCAATGGCATGGCCACAGCCAAAGCATACCAGACAGGCACAGACAAAACCTGTTCCAGTGCAGTAATAGCTTCTCTGTGGCAATAACCTCAACAGGCTTAAATCAAAATTATTTTTATTAGATCACCTCAAAAAGTCTCAAGTATTCTGTGATTCTGTGATTCTGAATATTATCCAATCAAGCAAGCGTTTCAAGCATGACATATGCCTGCAACCTAGGCTGCATTAGCAGAAGTATATCCAGCAGATGAAGGGAAACTATAATTCTCATCCATGTGAGATGTGTGAGGCCACATCTGGAAGGTGTGAGCTGAGGTTGCAAGATGCATGTTAACAGACTGCAGCACATCCTGTTAAAGGGCCCCACAATAGAGGGCTGAAGCACACACTGCACAAGGATAAGGCTGAGGGAGCTGAGAGAAGGCCAGAAGGGTGTCAAATTGCTGGCTGCCCCTACTCAAGGGAAAGTTGAAGAGAAGATGGAGCCAGGCTCTGAGGAGGCGGCAAAGTGAAAGGACAAGAAACAAAGGATGTAAGTTGCAACAGGGGAAATTCTGAACAGAAAACCTCTCCCTCTTGAGAGCACTTTAGCAGTGGAACGAGTGCCTACAAAGGCTGCAGAATCTCCACCCCTGGAGATGTTCAAAATATGGGGAGAAATGCCCTGAGAAGCCTGATTTGGCTTTACACTTGTCCCACTCTGAGCAGGATCCCTGAGGGGACTGGACTATATGCTTCTGAAAACTCCTTTCTGCTTGAATTTTTCTGTGAGTTTGTGATTTGATCTGTGCTACCGTTTTGCTGTGAGCAAATGTCCAGTGTCCTCATAATACTACAAGCCAGAAGGGTAGTATGCTTGTTTGACCCTGTGGAAATGCATCTCTGTTGACAGTAGCACTGGCATCGGCAAAGCCCTGGTACACGAACATCTCTTCTCTAGCTGGCTTGCTACCCTTTGTAGCTCTTCTCAA